CACACACACACACACACACACACACACACACACACACACACACACACACACACATACTTGCAGTGGTGTTCGTTCAGGTCCACCAGCAGCATGCACTTGCCGTTGTTCAGACAGTAGTTCTCAAACTTGTTGCCGCAGCCCTCGATGTAGCGAGCCACCACAGGGGGGCGCTCTTCTCCMGGACCTGAAACACCAGTCACAGAATCTCTGATGACCCCTCCTCCACTCATAAGACCACCCATAACATTGTGACCACCTTCCTGAAGTTTATTCTTTTCTTTATTTAACAGTAAAACAGCTCTGATCCATAATATAGCCGAGGTAATGATTATCACACACTGCCAACAAGAAGTGGGTGATCATGGAGTTGCCTTGTGTGCGTGCGTGCGTGTGTGTGTGTGTGTGTGTGTGTGTGTGTACATGTGTTTGTCTCATGAGCTAAAGAACATAAAACTCACAGGAAGTCATTATTGGATGTAGTGAATAACTTCCCTGAATCATCACTGATGTAATAAGTTGTCTTATAAACATTGCATCATTTCTCACTGTTTCATAACAAGTCAAAAATGAAATATATTTTCAAAAAATCTATCATCCACAGATGTTTTTTTAATCATCCACCACAATAATTCTGATTTGATGAATGAAAAAATTAATTAATTAATTAATTTTTAAATCAAAAGTAGCAGATTTTGTGGTGAGTACCTGGAGATAAAGTTGAATTTTCTGTCGTTGGCGGACTGGGTGTAATACTTTTTGCGAGAACATGCGGCCAAATCAGCATWATACCTGCAGAAGGAAAAAAAAGGGAAACGGTTAAGTATTCTTGATACATATATAATATTTATACAGCAGGTCTGCATGGACGAGGAAACAAACTGCTGTTTAAAGTCCCTGTCGCACTATAACGTTTTAGACAACTTATGAAACTTTTTTATGTCTAAAACTATAAAAGTTTTATATTTGATCAATTTGTTAGCAGTAGGTATACGCCTAAAAGAGGATTCCAGTTGATTATTTGTATTCCAACTTCATCATAGATGTTTTTAAATTTAAGTTAAAACGTTTCAGTGACAGGGCCTTAMGCTGTTTGAATAAAAATCAATTTTCTTTTTTATCTGTTCATTTAAAGGTCCTGAATCACTGGAACGAGTTTCTTTTTTTACCCTTTTTTTCCTCAGAGATGACTTTTCTGTTTGTTATAAATACATATTTTTAATGTCCAACAAACACTGATGCAGAATTATTTATAATTTTCACTTCTACAAATGATTTAAACAAAATATTATCTATTTTTCATGTGCTTTATGATTTTTTTCTTTTGTTAGTTGAGTTAATCTCTTGATGAGACCACAGCAAATGTGATTCATGTTTCCTTTGAACAAAGAACCACAGTCACATTAAGGGAAAGTACAGAGGTGATAAAAAAGAGAGTTTTAGTGGGAACGGTTCGAGCCCCTCCAGCTGGAAGTGACGTGGACTGACTTGTGTTCCCTGGTCCACATGCTTGTACCGACCTGCACGGCGCCAGGTTTAAAGACGCCCACATTCCAGCAGAGAACAGGAACCTGATCTGGACTGATCTGGATCTGAATCTGTGGATACTTGCAACCAATCTGTGCGTGCTTCGCTCTGTGACCATCAGGGACATTTCTGCAGAGCGAGGCTGCGCCTGGTGAAGCACTTTGGTGTCAAATGCACAGAATTCACAAAGGAAGCAAGGTTTCTGGGTTATTCACYTTTAGATCTGAAACCAGTGACTCACCCTCAGAGCATCGAGTCTTATTTTTAACACKTTATCACAGCTGAGATTTAATCTTGAGTTATGCAAACTGCCGACTCACTAAAGCTGCAGTTGAATTTTTCCCTTTTTATAAAAGGTTAACTCTTTTATAAAAACAAATCTTTATAGCAACAAATCAATTGGGCCTTTCTGTCTCCATCAGTGTTTTTCTGTGACCTCCTGCTGATTCAACTGTTTTTAAATGATAACTCTGACWGACAGAAAATAAAAACCGTTCCATTTTGTATTTCTGCATGTCAGAATGTGACAAACGCCACAAAACCTTGAGAATAAACTGATTATGTTTATTGATTTCCTTGTAGGATTGAATGTAATTCCTATAAAACCCACACTAGTAAATAACATCTTTACTCAGTCTATACAAGTTAATATTTCCTTTTACGTCAGCATTTTTCTTTTTTCTCTTAGTCATCATTAACTCAGCTGCACACGTTCCATTTATTAACAAACCACACATTTTAAAAGATTAAATTAAGTAAAATTATTAAGACATATTTGATAGATTTTTACATTAAATGATTTGTATTAATATTGATAGATTTCTAATTATGATTAAAACAAAACATATATGTGACTTAAGAGTATTTAAATGAATTAAACCCTAAAAATAATATTTACAAGAACAATACTTTTCAAACTGTAAAACTATTTAACTATCTTAACAGTGCAATTTTTAGCATTTATATGTCTTATTTGTTTAGTTCTTCATAACCGAAACTAAACACAGTTAAAGTGTTTTAAAAATAGGTTTTTGAAAAACGAGAGCTAATATTGTACGATGGGAAAATTGACCAAAATAACAGCGTTTTATAAAGTCATCACATTTTATAACAAACAATTGCAAATCTAAAGAGAGAGGAGTGTGCCGTGATTATTTTCTAAATTAAAATGAGAAAACATTTAAAAACAGAGTTCATTTMTTTGGCAGAAGTTTAGGTTAAAATAAAGAATAATGTTTTAAAATAAGCGAAAAATTAATAGTATTAAAATGTCGATGCTAGGCTACAAACGTGTCAAAAGTGAAGACAAATGTTAAAAAGTAAAGAGACAAACAGAAAAGTTGTGAAATGTGAACACCTGGTTCACCTCAAAGTGTTTCCTAATGTTACTTAATGACATCCTTCTTCATTCTTTCACCCTGCTGTAACTTGTCTGCCATTCATAACTCGGAACAATAGTCTATTATTATAAACTTCAACAAGCAGATAAAAACAGACTTTACCGATCAGAGAGAKGAGTGCTGAGGTTTTACTGGTCTCCATTTCAGACGGACAGGATCAGCGGGTCGGGACCACTGAGACGCTCGCAGCTCGTCCAGATGAGGTATTATAGAAGGAGCGGGCCGTGCCTCTTCTGACAGACAATAGCTTAAAACCAGTGGGCTCAGTCTTGTGGTGGGTGTGGTGTCAGACTCTTGTAATTTACATCATTTCACTCTGCTGAGGGCCAAAATGACAAATCAWCACAAGCCCCGGTTTCCAAGGTAAAGACTGGTGAACAGGCTGAGTAATGCTTTTGTCCCTGATTATTTTTTTTTTCTTATTGAAAACCTTTCCCCTTCTTCATCTTTACAGGATCAACTTTGTAGCCTTTCACCTCCTCTGGATGGCATTAATCTGGCCTCCAGTTCTAATGTAAAGAACCTTGGTGTTATTTTTGATCAGGACATGTCTTTCAACCCCACATTAAACATTTTACCAGGACCGCCTTCTTCCACCTGCGTAATATCACTAAAATTAGAAACATTTTGTCCAAAAATCATGCAGAAAAACTGATTCATACATTTATCAC